ATGAGCATTTAGGCAACTGAATTCTGCCCTTATCTTAGGACAGGAAGAATCAGCCTCTGGAGGTAATTATCTCTCTCCATTGACCACAGGACTCTTGGCAGCTGGTTTATACTAGATACCTAATGTTAGATGGCAAGCAAGGTGAGCTGAATCTTCTGGTTCATTAAATACAAACAAGCAGAAAAATTGTAATACCACTACAAACTTCAGAAGAAAGGTATTTGAAGAGGAAATCTGCAGAGCAGAGCAGCAGAAACCTTTGGGAGAAGACAAGAAGCAAGAAACTGAGGAAGGACAATGGGAATGGGGCTGGCAGTTTGGCCTGGATGTTAGTATAGATAAACACAGTAATTGAGAGCAAGAGAACTTTTACCACTAGCACAGACTGAGAATGTCTTTACAACATTAGAAGATAAGAGAAGAAAAATTTCAGCAGCCTCCAAATTCCTTCCAGTTCCACTGTCCTCCCACTCAAAATTAATTTGCCATGAGGCAAGGAACTGATTTCAGGAGAAATAAACCAGAGGTGCTTGTCCCACTGTACGTCATGCTGAGGTCCATAGAGCACAAGAGATACGATTGTTGTCATGCCTGAACAAAACTAATTCAATACAACATATAAACGTGGCACAAAAATTACAGACACCTAGGGTCAAATTCACAAGACCCTGATGATTCAGAATTGTCTAGAAAATAAAGTCAAATACTGACAAAAGACCATTTGTTTCCCAAAGAAGACGAATCCCATCAGAAGTGAACATTAAAATAGAATGTGAAAAAAGTCCTGCAAGGTTTGTCTTATTTTCTGTGGTAGCAGAAACAACTACACAACTAAAACAAGGCAAATTTCAATATTATACACTGATGCACTGATAACGTAATACACTTCCAGAAACACCAAGCTAGTTCATAAGAGGTTGACTAGCTATTGCAGGATATAGAAATAATCTCGTGCAGGTAGAAGGATGTACTTCTACTTTAGTATTTTTAGTATCTTCCTGTATCAAATTTAATGGTGTAGCCAGGCTTAACTAGTATATCCTACTTTTTGATGGTGAACTGATGAAGCAAACCGGAACAACTAAATATATTGAAATTCTTGAGATAAGCAAGATGTTTGCGTAAACGTTTTGTTCCTGCAATCAAAAGACTCTCCTACCTTAAAAACTACCAAGAAGAAATAATGATCCCATTGAAGTCAGTGGCAATATTCTCAGAAAAAAACTGGGTCAGGATTTTACTTTTCCAATTTGTAGCTCTACTTCTTTTCAGGTAACAGCACCAGCTATATTCAAAAACGTAATGGGCATTTTTCACTGTGAGGAGCTGAGTCCTTGGCAGAGGCCTATTTTATAGCTGTTTTGTAGTCTTTTATGGTGCTCTCTTAAAAAAAAGGCAGCTTTAACAGCTAGAAGGATATTGCAACAGGTCCAAAAAAAGATGGTGACTATAAGCCGAAGGAAGTCAGTGTTAACCTAGGAAGAGACTGACTATCTGTGAAATACATTGGCAAGATGTTTGCTAAGCCTCATGTGGCCAAACTGTCCTAAAAATCACCACAAGTCAAAAAAGATGATCTCTTATATAGGTATTACAAAGGTTTAAGTCTATTCTAGACTTTTCTTCACTAATAAAACAAATGTTAATGCAGGGTAACCAAATAAACAAAATGTGCTTCTGAGCAGTGTAGAGTTAAACAGCTTTTTCTATGGACTTTGTATTGTCCAAGAGACTATTCATTAAGTATTAGTTGCAGCTCAGCTTCATGAACTGTGGTTCTTCTCAGTTTATGGTCTTCTTACTCTCCCCATTCCCCTTCCAGAGAGCTCTGCTGCCTATAAGTGGAGAGAGAGCTGGAGAGAGGCAAACCCAGTTCTGCATTTTATACATAAAGAGTACAATATGTAAACAGCTTCTACAAGACTGTCTGTAACGTATGATGTGTGTGATGGTAGAGCTTGATTTAGAGTTGTCTCACTTGTTGGAACGCAGTATTGAAGGCTGACTGCTCATGATAGCATATGCGCCTACAGACTCTTTGGTCCTTTTGTATTTACTTCACCAACGCACTGGGCCAACGTAGCAAACTGATTACTCAAGACACAACAAAGCGAATGCCTGCTGACTTTGCTAGGACAACACAAAGCTCATTTCTCTAGGACACCATTTGAGAACAGTTGTCAAGGTGAAGCCTGAAGGCTATGGGAAATGTCAGTCTTTCCTCAACCCTGGGAGAGGGAAACACTGAAAATCAGTGGTGGTTATTTATTTAATTATTTATTTAAGAAAACCAAATTGAGTCATGCTCATCAGCCCTATTTAAAGCAGGAAAGAAGGAGCAAAACTCGAGTCTTATTTGGTGCTATTCCAATTTATATATAGTGTTTTAATTATTGCATGCTCTCATTAGCATATGTTCTAAATCAAAGTAAACGTAGGAGATCGACTCCTATTTGGGTGCCTGTATTTGAAAATTTGGATCCATATGTAAGGGAGGCTGGAAGGAGCCCAAGAAACCTATGTAAATAGCTTATCCAAAAAAAATAATGGTAAGCATGATGCATTAGAAGGGATGCTTTTCCTGTTCTGTCTGTGAATGTTAAAATAGGTAAACACAGTGTCATGCACCTATGTCAAAAAAGTGGAAGAAAGAAAACCTATCCATGCTCTAAAGTGCAACCTTCCTCTGAGTCATCCAGTGAATCTGGTATCTGAATTTTTTTCTCCTGCTAGACCTTGAGGCAGAGGAAATTCCGCAGTGTGTTTCAGAAAATGCTAACTGGGCCAGTAGTGATTAACAAATAAATAATAATGTCTATAGTTATCCCTCTTCTTATGAAGTCACTTCTTTCATCGTAAATCTGCTACACTTCATCTGATGGGAGTTTTGACAAATGAATTCACCTACAAATTTTGAAGGTTAGGTTGAGGTGAATGTATGACAATGCTGTCATGAAATCTATGTCCTTTGGGTATACCTGTGACAACCCGGAACTCGAGAGTACTTACTGCTTGAAGTCCTTAGGGTTTAAACGCACAATTCACAAGATCCTCAAATAAAGTAATAAAAGAAGCTGCCTGGAATGACATTTTTTTCCATCCGTTATGATGTTCATTTTAAAAATGTTTGGTTTTGATCTATTATTTAATAAACTAGTACAATTTTTACTACTGTTCGGGGAGATGTTGTTAGACAAATAGGTTTTTGTTGTCTTTTTATCTTTCTGTTTTTTGCGAAAGCAAATGGAGTCTCTTTATGCCATTAACCAAAGTGACTTGTAAACAAAGAGGCAATTTAACAGCATCCCAACAGCATTACATTCCAGCTTAACCCTGTGAGGACTGTACAGTGTGAATAATCAAGCGATCAAAGAGTTGTTACTTTGTTGGGAATCTAGTAAATAATCTTTTATCTTTATAGATCTGTAATTGCACTTTTTTTAAATTATATTATTCCAGAATATAATTCCAAAGGCAAGGAGCCCTTGTTACAGTCTTTCTATCCAGTCTGCACCTCTGACTGATTTCTCTGCTTTATATAACATTCATTTAGTGCAAGTGAATGATGAGTATTGTCAGAACCACTACAGTAAACCAGAGCATTTCCAATGAAGGAAGTAAGCTGTAACATCAAAGGAAATCTGAGGAGTGAAATAGCTGCTGGGGCAGTGGGGTTATTCGAATTCTCTGTATTTCACTATAAAATATATATTTATTTTTCATTAAATGCCTGCTGTCATACTTGCCAGTACCACAGCTTGGTGTATCACTGCCAAAAAAAAACTACGCAACAAAATGCACCTCACAGATCATACAGCTTTTGTTGCATCAGGTAAAATAAAAATGCCACCTAATTCAGTCTGTTCTCTGTCAGAGCATTCAATACGTGCAGAAAAATTAAATTTGGGAATGAGGTTAAGAAGGGAACAGAGGTTTGAGCTAGCCCCGAGGTGATCTCAGTCTTGTCTGTTAGCTTGGACAAAGTTGCTATGATTATTCTTTTTCTAGAATAAGCATATTTTTGCCCTTTTCAGCAAAGACACTTAAGTGCCAACAGTTTCTGCTCTCTTTAGCCTTGCACATCCCAGAAGCATGCAGTGTTCATGATAAAATATAAGCACAAACTTTATTCTTCTTAAAATTTATTTACACTTTAAGCAATTGTCATAAAATACGATATGAAATAAAGAATTTAAAACAGAAATGACACTACCAAATGTTCTTTTTACCTGCTAATAATGGCTAATATTCAGAATTGTTTGAGACAATTCCTTGAAGCAAACATAAATGCTACTGCTTTCTCTCTAAGTAGTGTTGTACTGAATTTTGGGTTTTCCTTTCTCTTTGTTGTGGAACATGAGCTAATGTCAACGCACTGATTTCCTCTGTTCTTATTCTGGTGATGTGTATTAGTGACTGCATTTAGAGAAGAAGGAACTTTCATATCCATTAACTCAATGAGTTTGCTAATTAGCAACAACAGCAAAAGGAATGTACAGACTACCCGGAAGAAAAAGTTCTATGCATAATTAATTATATAATTATAATATTATTTCTAAATATCACACAGCCTCCCTATACTACATAATAGCTTTATGTTTCCTATCTTTCTTCTCCTAAATTGGCTAACAGCTCATTCCCCCCCAACCCCGGTCCACATAAGGAAACGAGAATCCAGCGATCATGCAAATCTCCCATGAATATCAGAACAGCACGAAAGCCTCTCTTTTGACAGAAGACACAAGAGCTTTAAGTGCTGCCATCAAAGTGCTACACAGTCCAGTTACTTCTCTTAAAAACTGCATGCTTCAATGTAAGTCAATAATGTAGGGCTGCTACCAGGTCTCAGCAGCCTTGACAGACAGAACATTCCTGCAGTTGTAGTGAGCAGGACCTCGATGACTACTTTTTGCAGTGCTCCACTCCACTATACAAACCAATACCCCGTCCAGTTAAACATGATATGCCTGATAGATAAGAAGAGAAGCAATAAGACTCACTCAATAAAGTAGACTTCCCCTTTTTCTGTATAAGCCATTTCCCAATTATCAGGCAACGGGCCCAAATCATCATTCTCTTCAGGTTTTGTCTGTTTTGTTACATCCATATCCTCCTTTGCTTCTTCAGGCTGAGTATATCCTGGTGCAGGACAAGGTTGGGTGGAAGATACCTCCCCTGAGACACCTGTACTCTTCTCTTCATGTTCACTTGATTCTACAACAGAAGAAAAATTACAGTTTTTGGATATCTACGTAAATGGTGGAGGATTTACCGTGTGCAATCTCCCAGCAATATGCTATATGAACTGCAAGTTTTGAAATAAAAAGAAAAATTCTGCTGATTTACACATGGGGTCCCTCCAATGATGCATTTTATCTCTATCACAATAAGAGAAAATAAAACAATAAAAACAAACCAAAACAACTAATAAAGAGCTAAGAAACACGTCAAAGAGTTCTGGATCAATCTGCCCAGGAGTTTTTCCAAACCAGCAGTTAGCACTGAGCAGAAGGTGGCCTGATATCCAGTTGCACTACTGTCTTGTGTCTCATAGCTTCACAGCTTTTCAAACTATACACCCAGAAAGTGAGTACTCTGCTGTTTTACTACAGAAAACAGACCCTTTTCAATTAAGAAAGCATATACACTCATTGTTTTTCCTGTATCTATAGATGGAAAGGAAATCAATACGACAACCTTGCAACAAAGAGCAATGTATATAAAGCAGTGTGATTTCATTACTAGTATCATCTGTGGGAGGCTTAGTTTCCCACAGCTAGTGCTAAGTACCTCCTATACATCTCACTATGTCCCAGAACATATTCAGGAAAGAATACACCTTTTTAAAGTACTTGATCTTTCACTCTTTACTGATTCTACCTTCCATAAAGTCAGAAATCATGTTTTTTCCCCTGGTTTCCAACAGTATCTCTGCCACTCCTAGTTCCCACAGTCCAATCCAGGTACTCGTAGCTAAAACAACTGTATTAAAACATAACAACAGCTGTTAAAATGGCGGCTGAACAAAAATGTAAGACAAAACCACAAATGTATCTCAAAAAAACCTCTGCTAAACAGGGAGCAGATGTGCAATACTAGGAGTCTAAATGCTCTTTTATCCACACTGTTGAACGCTTACCTCCACTCCTGGATTCTACATGCTCACCTGTGTGAACAAGTATTGGAAGGCTTCCATGCACGCAGCTAACATGGCAGTAAAGACACAATCTTTTCTTGACTAGTACTAGCCGAAACAGAGGATGCTTGAGAGAACTTGAACTAGCAAAGAAATAGAGATTTCTTCACTTTAAATTTGGCTGACTGATCTACTAGGCCTGTGTTTGTAAGCAGTACTTTATTATATGGTTCATCTAGAAACTATTTCTTGAAAAATGGGACAGAAACCCATTGCTTTAGTGGACAACAGAAGTGCTCATCCTCTGTCCCTGGATCCTTATTTTCTGCTGCACTTAGACGAAGACTGATCTCATTGAGAAGGTAGACCCCTATATTTGGCCAAATGTAGGGCAGCAATTAAACTGTAAGGAAAACAAATTCACAACCTGGATATATTGATTAAATCTCCACTATAATAGGATCCTAGCCAAGCGGCAGAAATGACCCTGCATGTGAAGTCAGTCAAAATAAATTCAGTCCTGCTTTGGCTAGATGCTCAACTTCTAGATGGTTAAAATAGGGGGAGGTGAATCTCAGACCTAGTGAGCATCACTTTAAGATATATATATATATGAAAGCCAATGACATAAGTTCATTAACAGATATAAATCAGCGAGGATATGGACAATGAGTATCAGATGTCTGAGGAGAATTAAGGACAAAATGGGAACTGGAACTTGTAGTACTTAATCAGAATGATACTTAAGTGGCATAGCAGAGACTAGATGGGAAATACTATAGCTTGTTCATAAAGATATGTAAGGAATAAAGGAAGTATATATGGTTTTGTATCATCAAGAATGTATGTACACTTGCTCTGGATGGACTTGCTCTTATATGGACAGACACAGTGAAAGTCTGTGGATAATCATAAAAAAGAAAAGGAAAGGAGAAAATATATTTTTAAAAGAAGCCTACAATGTAGCCTACCTATTATCAGTAAACAATAAAGTTCAAGAAGATGATCATTTTTTAAAGAACTAAGGAATGCATCCAGAGCACAAAACTATGCAGATACTTGTGTGGAACATGTAGGAGGTGGAAGACAACTTGAGTGAAATGATCTATTTTGTGATTCTTAGAAAAACAAGAAAGAAGAACAGCAAAAAATTAACAGCAACGGACTTCAAAAAAGCAGATTTCAAAAAAGTCAGAGAATTAGTAAGTTTGATGTTATGGCAAGCGAGGGCAAGGAAAAAGGAGTTCACAGAACCAGTAAAGATGAAATAAACAATACAAAGAACATAAGCACAAATTGTCCTAATGAAAAAGATAGATGGTAAGTATAATCAGAGATCATTTTGATCAAGCTATGACTTTTCAGTGGTCTCTGTTTGATACAGAATTGTACAAAAGGTGAAAACTAGATTAAAATACTAAGGATGAACACCGAAGAATAACACGTGCATGTAAGAACAGCCAGTCTACAAAATGGGATACTGCCAGGGACATTAGGAGTAACAAGAAAACTTTCTGGAAGTACATTGATAATAACAGTAAGACCAAAAGCAGATTTCACAATGTGGGAAGGAAGGGAAGCTAATAATACATGACGCATAAAAAACAAGGAATTTAGTGCTCTTTTTGCTTCAGTCACTACTGGAAAAAGATTACCTATGATTAAATGACTAACATAATTAACGTCAGCAATAGGAGTAAAGAACTCAGATTAAAGTGGGCAGAGAAGAGGTCAGATACAATTTAGAGAAAGTAGCCATTTTTAATTGGCAGAGCCTGATGAAACGAAATCTGGAGTACTGAGGGAACCAATGAAGCTGAATCACGGTTAGTAGTGGCTACACCTTTGAGACTTCTTACAGAAAAGAAGATTAGAAAGGACAGACACCATCCTGGTTTAAACAAAGTATCTAGGATTTAGGTTTTAATATTCTTAAATTCTGAGCACCAAAGTTTCCTTTGAAATAATTTGCTCAATGAGACCATAATGTATTTTTGTAAAAGAGGGGTAAGGAATTGCAACTTCACTAGAACCTTCAATCTATTTTTAACTCCTAGAAGGATGGTGGGACCAGCAATCAAACCACCTACACATAAGCTCTTCAAAGGTGATAAATAATTGTCAAGATTTATCAAGAAGTAAATCTTACTTCTTTTCATGACAGGGTAACAGGTGTTGTTACTTGGGAAAAAATGGTAGACATATCTTGATGTTAAAAGGAGTTTAGATAGTGACACATACAGCCTTTTAGAACAGTGTGAAAAAAAAAAAAACTAGACCAGGTCTAGACCAGGGTGATACTCTATGGCTCTGCAGCCATATGCAGCTCATGTGCTGTTTCAGTGGAAGTCATAGTCAAGCTATGGGTGATTACTAGTATTGTATGCTGTTGGGAAATGTGAATCTCTCTGGCTGTGGGAAGAATCAAATTAACAAAATACTCAAGTGCAAGTTTTGCTCAGTTGAATCCCACAACAGAGCAGGAGGATCTCAGGGAGCTGAAGTCACCTCCTCCTTACCTAACACTGCCAAATTCCCTTCTTCTTGGCTTTCCAAAGTACATGGCATACGTCTGATCCAAAACACCACAGTCAGTTGCATAAATGCAAGATGGGAGAAAACTCCCTAGGCAGAAATTCTATGGAAAATGCAATGGAGATGAGTGAGGAATATCTAAGCATTACTCTCAGTCAAATATAATATTAATGCAAAAAAAAAGCAAACACCAGAATAGGTAGAAAGAGTAATCCTATGCAATAGAGGTTCTTCCACCTTCACCTACAGTAAGGTTTCAGCAGAAGTACTGTGCCCAGTTTCAAGGACTTAATTTCAAGGGAAACTGGAAACAGTCCAGAGGACAGCAACAAAAATGAGCAGAAATATGGAAAGACTGAAGAACTGGTCTTTTTAGTCTTGAGAGGAAAAGACTGATGGACAGAGGAAACATTTTCAAATATGTAAAAGGTTTCTGCAAAGCAGAGTGGATAGGTGGTCTCCATGTCCCCTGAGAACAGGAAGATGCTCTCACCAAGTTCACCAAGTTCTTTTTTTTTTTTTTTTTTGCTATTTCTGCAAAGCAAAAAGGAGTTCTCATCTGCCTCAAGTATCATTGACAGATCTGTCAGCTATATTCCTGAGCCTATCCACAGTCCTGAGCACATTTTTACTGCAGGAATGATGCTGTAAAGTCTAAACTGAGGTCAAGATGTGAGGCTACAAGGTACATGTGTCTGCAATAGAACAACTAAATTTGTAGCATAGGTGCATCGTGCACAATGGCTAATGATCAACTACTGGTTTGATGGTACACAGGCTTGGCAATATTGCTATGTCTTAGGGTTTTAACATGAGATCTGTAAAATGCAATAGCTTTCTCAAGATCTTATTTTCAACAGGTCAGATGAGGTCAAGCTCTTGACTTTCAATAAATATATTAACAAATTCCAGCCATCATTATGGCCGAGAAAATGCGACAACACGAGCCTTGAGGATTAGAAGAAATATCCTGAGCTTGTCTCAGATAGAAATTGCTATCAAAACATAGAGGGAAAGTAGGAATCCGACATGTATTTAACCTCTTAAAAATATAACTGTTTCAAAGCCAATTTCATGACTTATTAATTCCTGGATCATTATTTTTAATAGCTTGTTTTGGTAATAATAGAGAAGCCATTCTGATGACTAAAAACCAAGCAATTAAGGTAGAATTGCCTAATGCCATTTAATAACATTTAATTTTGCACAATAGACATTCCAGTAATTAGTTATTTGGAGTGCAGCACTATGTTGCCATTTTATATCATACATTTTATTGTATGAATCTATCATTCACTTATTCCAACTAAGGCAGATATTCACCTTCCTGATTTTCATTGTGTTAATATATATTCATACATAGTACTTTGATAAAGAGCAGGAGTTACAGTCAAAAATTAGTAGTGTCTTAAATATACAAATAAAGTTTGAAATACTGTAGCACATTTCAAGAGCATAAATATTTGCCTTCAAATAACATCTGATATAAACAGATACTAAAACTGTACCATAATACGTGACTAGAAATATATTTGTCGCTAAA